ACTCGGCCTGTGGCACTGTTCTTGGTCCCTATAGGTCTTCATGTCCATTATGGAAGAAGGGTCTGGATCTCCTTTTCCAAACCCTGCCCACCCCCCAGCCAACCCATCTGCTAGACCCGGTCAGCTCCAAACCAGCAGAACACGTCTGCCCCTTCCCATGACCTCTTGACATGGTGTCTTCTCTGATCCCCTTCCCTTGTTTCTTGTCCCTTTAGTCCCTTCTCTGTGACACCCCTGGAATGACTTGAAGAAGCACATATTGCTGTTGCTTCTTGTGGACCCCCTTGTTGTCATGCTGTAACATTTTAAATTTATTATTTTTATGTGTGTTAGTGTATTGCCTGCATGTGTGTAAGTGTATTTGTGTCATGCAATGCTTTTGGAGGTCAGAAGAGGGTGGGCGACAGATCCCCTGGAAGAGGAGTTATGGGCTGTTGTTAGTTGCTGTGTGGGTGCTGGGAACCAAACCTGGGACCTCTGCAAGAGCAGCCAGTGCCATCCTGTTGTACTTTAAGAAAACACTAGTCCTTTGCTCAGGTGCTTGAAGCCCACAAGTGACCCTGGCCCATCTTGCTCCCCCCATGCCCTCCACGCTGGTCTCTTTCCAGGACAGACTCAGCTTGTCCACTATCATGCTCTTATAAGCTGCTATAGTCAGAGTTTGGAACTTGGTCACTCTTGCTTTCTGGGTGGCTCATTTCTTCCATTCTGGGCTCAACTCCTAACCTCCTTGGGGTGGGGGTGGGCATCCTGGACATCTAGACCAGCCAAGTGTTGCTGCCCTTGGCTCTGCTGCTCTCTTACTTCCTGGCTGCTCTTGGCATCATTGCCCATTTCCCTGATGGCTGGCTGCCCTGGCCTTGGTCTCTCTTCTCCTCTATAGATGGTAGGCTGTATCTGTCTGCACACTGCAACCTTCTCAGCACCAGGAGCAGCGCTGACCCATGATAAGTGCCCCTCTTTTGACAAGGTCAGTCTTTTCCAGCTCCCCTACCTGCCCCCTTGGCTTGCTTCATGTGCTGCAGGCTGCTGGCTCCCACAAGGCGTCTTTTCCCTCAGCCTCCCTGATCTTTACATTGTGGACTCGACTTTCAAGTGGGCATGCCTGCTTAGATGCACCACTCTGAACTCGGGAGCCCTGCCTTCAGGCTTTCCCTCCTCTGTCCAGGCATTGATTGCAGGGGACAGATGACCTCCCATTCCATAGTCACGCATCTTGCAGCACTACCACTTGCGTGGGTCTGTTTGGACAGGCCTCAGGGACAAGTGGGGAGGCCCAGCCGCTGGGCAGATGTCACCAAGCTTAGCTTACTTCAATGACTGGCAGTTGACCCTGGCTACTGGCTGGTACCTAGGCTGGGCTGGTGTTCAGAATACCTACATGTGGCCTCTCTGTGTGATTTCCTTGCAGCAAGGAGACTGGGCATGAGCACTCAAAAAAGGCCCAGGGAAGGTCACCGTTGCTTCTTTTTCTCACTCGGGTGACTCCAGGTTGACCAAAGACAGAGGTGAAAAATGACTGTGCTTTCCATTCTGAGCCATCAAGAGGATCAGATGGGCAAACTTAAATGCAGGCCGGCAGCTTCTGTGCAGCACTGTCTTTAACCGTGTTTACTAAGCAGCTGTCTCTCCACAGCCACCATCGTTGCCAACCCGATACTGACCTTCTCAGACGTTGAACAGATTTTACTTCAAGAAATTTCCAACAAAAGGATGAACTGAGGAAAGTCTTCCAGCTGCTGGACACGGAGCACAGCTTGGCAGTGACGAAGGGCGAGCTGAGGCGTGCCATCACCACCTTCCTGCTGCCCCTCACCAGGGAGCAGTTCCAGTTTGTGCTCTCAGGTAGGTACCCACCATCACATCCACATGGGGCTCAGCACAAGCAGGGGCCGGCGGAGGAGCAGGGGGCCATACACCTCCCCTCCCGAGCTCTGTATGTCTTCCACAGTTCACCTGAGTTCGGACTGGCTGGGATGACCACAGTCAGCATTCACTGTGTGCAGCAGCGTGCCTGCCATTTTCCTTCTGTTTTTAAGGCTTTCACGTAACAGTATCTGGTCAGTTATATATAAACATATTTTTAAGATTCATTTCATTAATTATTGTATTTTAAAATAGTTTTATTGAGCTTTTGTACATTTCATACAACAGTTCTGAATCAAATTTAGATGGGATGACCACAGTCAGCATTCACTGTGTGCAGCAGCGTGCCTGCCATTTTCCTTCTGTTTTTAAGGCTTTCACGTAACAGTATCTGGTCAGTTATATATAAACATATTTTTAAGATTCATTTCATTAATTATTGTATTTTAAAATAGTTTTATTGAGCTTTTGTACATTTCATACAACAGTTCTGAATCAAATTTAGACTCCTAAGTTTGATTATTTTTATGCTCCCCCCAAACCAGACCTTACATATTCCACCATACATGTTAAGTCCTATCCAGTGAAGCATTTGTACCCGGTGTCCTTTGGTACAAGTTCATCCACTGGAGTCTAGTCAGCCTATCTAGTGATCATAAGTAAGGTCAGTTTGTGTGCATCTGTGTGGGAGAATGTGCATTTGTGAATGCATTGCTCGCAGAGGCCAGAAGAGGGTGTCAGATGCCATGGAGCTGGAATTGCAGGTGGCTGTGGCTGTGGGTGCTGGGAACTGAACTCAGGTCCTCTGCAGGAGCAGTACATGTTCTTAATCACTGACTCGTCTGTCTAACCCTCAATCTGTAGCTTAAACTTAGCCTTACAGCACTTGTTCTTACCTGAAAAGCTACGGCGCCCCATATAATCTAGTGGTTAGGAGTCCTGGTTTCCATCCAGGCAGCGTGGGTTCACCTCCAGGTATGGGAGTGGGCAAGTGATTGCTGTGCAACTCTGAGGACCCAAGTTTGAATGCTCAAATGACACATAAAAATCGGACATAGTGGTGTGTACTCCTACCAGTGGTCTGTAACCCCATCTCTCCCCGTCCTCACACACTCCGTCTCTCCCCATCCTCACACACTCCGTCTCTCCCCATCCTCACACGCTCCGTCTCTCCCTGTCCTCACACACACCTTCTCTCCCCGTCCTCACACACTCCGTCTCTCCCCATCCTCACACGCTCTCCCCGTCCTCACACACTCCGTCTCTCCCCATCCTCACACGCTCCGTCTCTCCCTGTCCTCACACACACCTTCTCTCCCCGTCCTCACACGCTCTCCCCGTCCTCACACGCTCTCCCCGTCCTCACACGCTCCATGCCTCTCGGCGGGCAGCGGTCTGGGAGTCTGCTTCTGTGTGCTTTTTCATGTTGTTTTCTCTTGTTAGCTATATTATAAAACACAAATTATGAAAGTTTACATTGGCCTTTGTCTCTGGAGGCCTGGAAGTCTGAGGTGGTGCTGGCATCTGCTTTGTGTCTTTGAAGCCTTCTTGCAGCATGATGACAACAGAGGGCATCACCTGGTGAGCCAGAGTGTTCGAGTCAGAGAGAGACTGCCCTCGTGCTAGCTGTGTTTTTAACAGCAAGTTATTGTGGTAGAAGGCATATGCCCTAAACTCTCCCTTTTAACATAGAAATCAGTATTATTGGTGCATTCTCTGTATATCACTATGTCACTATGTAATTTACAGAGAAGGTCCTCATCCCCAGGAGAGAGCTTGTACTCCTTAGCAATCACTCCCAGTTTCTCTCTCTACCTTTCTCCGCCTGAGAATGGTTGATCTTGTTGTCATGTAGATGGTGCACATTTCATACAACAGAATCACCGTCTGTGTGTTTCTGTGTGCAATCGCATTCACCAGGCTAACCATGCTGTGCCATGTCAGCACCCAAGTCCTGTTGGAGACTGACCTCTGGCCTCGTGTATACTCTCTAGCACTTTGTTGGCTGATGGCCCTTTGTACCACCCTCTAACACTTGTGAACATTGACACACCAGGGTTTTGAGTAGACAGAGTCACCAACTCTCTCGGGGACCTCCAGAGGGTGGAATGGTTGTCACATGGTCGTGTTTGTGACCTCTCCAGACCATGTATCATGGTAGACGTTGATCATCCATCAGTCTTCTTCTAAACCTGCTTTAACTGACACCTTGTACCAAGTGGAGAGTTAAAATATTATTTCCTGCTGTGTCCTTATAGTCATGACCTAACGTGAATTTGGTTTTGACAATCTTCCCAAGCTAATGAGCTATGCAGGAAGAGTCATACAGGAAACATGAAACACGTATTTGTTCTAGAAAGCGGCATCTGTGTTTAAAAGTCACTGGAAACAGAGATTCTGAGACTTTTTAAAGAGCAGGCCCTGGTTATTTCTCCCAAGTAGCAGGTACATGTCTCTAGGACCTTGAGCCACCGGATCTGTGGACTGATCATAGAGGCCTAGGTCACAGGACATGAGTGGGAGTGACTCTGTGCCTGGGCTGCACGGACTCATGCAGGGTGGTCATGGATTGTGCTCTGCTAGTGGCTAATGGCTCCTTTATCAAACCCTGACAGTTGTCCTGTGTCTGTTTATTTGGTGTGAGCTGGCAAGTGCCTTTCCTTCCTTCCTCTTTTATCTTGTTTTGTGTGTGTGTGTGTGTGTGTGTGTGTGTGTGTGTGTGCATGTGCATGTGTGCATGTATGTGCTAGGCTGTATGCATGTGGAGACCAGAGGACAACTTGTTTCTCTGGCACGGTCCATCTTGATTGTAGAACAGAGCCTCTCATTGGCTGGAAGTCATCAAGTAGACCAGGCTGGCCAGCCCTAGGGATCCACCTGTCCCTACCTCCACAGTGCTGAGGTTGCACACTCATGTCACTGCACCCAACTTCTTTATGTGGGTTCTGGGGATTGAACTCAGGTGCTTGCAAACACTTTGCCGACTGAACAATCCCCAGATCCCCTTTCTGCTTTGTCTTTTCACTGAGGGCATCCTTCTTAAACCACACATTTGACCTGTTCTTACCTGACTTCTGTCATCTTAGGGAAGCTTGGAGGTGCCTGCTCAGATTGTATCTACTGAAAAGCGCCTA